CGGCGTCAAGGCCCAGATGCCGGGAGGCTGCACATTTACGTGCGGCTGGTGCCAAGAGGTTAAACTTGTAAACAAAACGCCCCAGAAAATGCTTGGTCTTTAAAGCAGAGTTCCACCTGAAAAAAAAAATAAAATAAAAAAAAATAAAGTCAGCAGCTACTAAAACTGCAGCCATTTACCTGGCCCTCGGTCCAGCGGAGTCCTCACCATGGCTGGGTTCACCGACCGTCTTCTCTCCCCGGCGCCGACATCTTCAGTGTGGGCACCCGGCTGTGACAGCTTGCCCACTGCGCATGCGCGAGTAGCGCTGCGCTTTGTGAATGGACCTGTAGTCTTCATGGACCTGTCACGTGTCCCAGAAGACCACGGGGAGGGAGGGGGGAGGACAACTTCTACTTACGATCGCCTAGGCCAGGGGTGGGCAACCTGTGGCTCTCTAGCTGTTGTGGAACTACATTTCCCATGAGGCATTGCAAAAATTACCCATGAGGCATTGCAAAAAAAACTGACAATTACAGCTATGACTTGCAGAGGCATGATGGAACTTGTAGTCCTGCAGCTCTCAGGTTGCCTACCCCAGGCCTAGGCGATCGCAGCAGAAGTGGGAGCGGGTACCTGTCAAATTCGGGTACCCCCACTCTCCCCCGCTCCCCAAAGGTGCCAATCCTTAATGGGGAGCGGGGGACAAAGCATTAAAGCAGAACTTCCCCTTTTGGGTGGAGCTCCGCTTTAAGTCGCTTTGTACTTGTTTTAAACTTTTTGTTTTACATTTCTTCAGTTGCTTCCTGGTTTCTGGCCTAGGCCCTGGTCACTGATGGGCACTGAAAGGCAGCACTCATATATGGCACTGATAGGCGGCACTGATGGGCATTGATAGGTGGCACTGATGGGCGACAGTGTAGATGTTCCCTCTCAGGAATGCTGCTTACCGGTTCTCCTCTTGCGCTGTGAGCATGAGGAGAGGATTGCCGATAACCTGCATTTTCTGATTGGACACAGCTGATCACATGATAGTCCCGATGCCATCGGCTCTTTACTCTGATTGGTGAACCTCTGTGTCCCAGGGACCACCGATTGTTGTGCCGCGAATCCCTGGGGGCGCGCATGCGCAGTTAGAGTGGGAGGACACCATATGACGTCCTCCCAGAACGAGAGAACTGCCGCCCGTCCTTCATTTATATGGCGGGCAGGAGGTGGTTAAACAAGCTGGTAGACAGATCGGGGTAAGGAGTTCCAGAAGATGGCAGAGGTTCTGGACAGATTAGCGTAGAGTATTCCAGAGGACGGTACAGGATTTTGAGAGATTGGGGTAAGGAGTTCCAGAGGGTGAAAGAGGCTCTGAAGAAGTCCTGGAGGTGATCACAGATGGAGGAGGGAGCTACACGGCAGGAGGGTCTTGGGAGGAGCAGAGAGGACAGTTCGGGCGATAGTCTGAGATAAGATTGGTGATGGAGCTCGGGAGCAGAGCTGTGGACGACTTTGCAAGTTTTGGGGAATATTTTGAATTGTATTTGTTGGGCCAATCGACCGTCAGTGAGGGGATTGGCAGAAATCCAAGGATACAGGGCCTGTCTATAGAGAAGTGATGTATCAAGATTCGTAAGCGATTGCCAATGATTCGCTGTATCACCAATGATCGAACCGCCAAACGCCGCACTATAGTAGTACAGATAATATAGGAAGATAAAATAATGATACAATGTTATTTATTGATACAATCGGGAAGAATAATATAAATACTAGAATATGAAATCTGAGCCGAGGACGGGGGGGGGAACCTGTTTATATGATGCTATAATGGAGTCTAGGAAGGGACTGGAGAGGAAATCCCCTTCATCCTTGTAATTGGAAATGACAGATCCAGCCTGCGCTCCATACATTGATGGATCAATATCCCATATAAATATCATTCGCAGACCTTCAATTACAAGATCATCAAATCGGAGGATCGCCGGCTGCAATTGCAAACAATGCCATAGAATAGACAAGGGGGGGGGGGGGGGGGGGTTGCGGCGGCATTTTATCTGCTACACCTGAGTTGCCGCGTGCGGAAGATCGGAGCGCTGCGTGATGAATTTTAATGAAGTGCTCGGCGGATTATTTTATAACCGCAATATATTTGTATTATGAAAACACGACAGACGTTTTATCTGCTTCTGTTTAATTATTTATGCTGTTTATGAAATGCAAACGATGGCGATGGATGAGGGGGAGGGGAGGGGGGGGGGTAATTCCAAAACTGAAAACCGGGTTTATGACGGAACACCAGAACAGAACCTGGAGGGAAACAGTCATTAACCACTTCCAGTCCGGACACTTTCCCCCCCTTCCAGTCCGGACGCTTTCCCCCCCTTCCAGTCCGGACGCTTTCCCCCCCTTCCAGTCCGGACGCTTTCCCCCCCTTCCAGTCCGGACGCTTTCCCCCCCTTCCAGTCCGGACGCTTTCCCCCCCCTTCCAGTCCGGACGCTTTCCCCCCCCTTCCAGTCCGGACGCTTTCCCCCCCTTCCAGTCCAGACACTTTCCCCCCCTTCCAGTCCGGACACTTTCCCCCCCCCTTCCAGTCCAGACACTTTCCCCCCCTTCCAGTCCAGACACTTTCCCCCCCTTCCAGTCCAGACACTTTCCCCCCCTTCCAGTCCAGACACTTTCCCCCCCTTCCAGTGCAGACACTTTCCCCCCTTCCAGTCCAGACACTTTCCCCCCCTTCCAGTCCAGACACTTTCCCCCCCTTCCAGTCCAGACACTTTCCCCCCCCTTCCAGTCCAGACACTTTCCCCCCCTTCCAGTCCAGACACTTTCCCCCCCTTCCAGTCCAGACACTTTCCCCCCCTTCCAGTCCAGACACTTTCCCCCCCCTTCCAGTCCGGACACTTTCCCCCCCCTTCCAGTCCGGACACTTTCCCCCCCTTCCAGTCCGGACACTTTCCCCCCCCTTCCAGTTCGGACACTTTCCCCCCCTTCCAGTCCGGACACGTTCACCCCCTTCCAGTCCGGACACTTTCCCCCCCCTTCCAGTCCGGACACTTTCCCCCCCTTCCAGTCCGGACACTTTCACCCCCTTCCAGTCCGGACACTTGCCCCCCCTTCCAGTTCGGACACTTTCCCCCCTTCCAGTCCGGACACTTTCCCCCCCTTCCAGTCCAGACACTTTCCCCCCCTTCCAGTCCAGACACTTTCCCCCCCTTCCAGTCCAGACACTTTCCCCCCCCTTCCAGTCCAGACACTTTCCCCCCCTTCCAGTCCAGACACTTTCCCCCCCTTCCAGTCCAGACACTTTCACCCCCTTCCAGTCCAGACACTTTCCCCCCCTTCCAGTCCAGACACTTTCCCCCCCTTCCAGTCCGGACACTTTCCCCCCCTTCCAGTCCGGACACGTTCACCCCCTTCCAGTCCGGACACTTTCCCCCCCTTCCAGTCCGGACACGTTCACCCCCTTCCAGTCCGGACACTTTCACCCCCTTCCAGTCCAGGACAATTTCCAGCTTTCAGTTCTATCACACTTTGAATGACAATTGCGCGGTCATGCAACACTGTACCCATATGAATTTTTTAGCATTTTTTTGAGACAGATAAAGCTTTATTTTGATGGTATTTATTCACCACTGGGATTTTAATTTTTTTTGCTATATAAATGAATACGTCCAAAATGTTTGAAAAAAAAGTGTTTTTCTTATACAATTTTGCAAATAAATAATATTTCTTCATAAATCTCGGCCAACATTTATTCAGTTATCTTTTTAGTAAAAAAAAATAACCCTAATTAGTTTATAACCAAAAATTATAATTTTTAAACTTTTTATTATTATTTATGGGTTTTTTTTCTACATACTGTCACCCTAGCAGTACAGTCACCATGGTGACACTGTACTACTTGTGGGGGGTGATGAAGATTTTTATTTTTTTACACTGATTGCGTTTACACCCATAAAGGCTGTAAGAGGAATCATTTCTCCTTCTCTCTGGCTGCATTCCTGCAGCCATTGAGAAATACTGTGTGAGCTGTGATTGGTCACAACTTGTCACATGATACAAGGGTGTTGTGAATGGCCCTGTACCATGTGATCTCTGTGGTCATTCACAGATTTCACACGTAGTAAGCAATGGTGTCATTCGTTCGATGAAGGAGACGACTTGTACTTACCACCAGCTGAGGGACAGGAAGTGGTTTGAGGTCTTTGCTCAGAGACACGTACGTGAAGAAGGCGCTGACGGCCCGGAATCGCTCCTGGGTGTCACCCACCAGAGTGTCAGCGTCCACAACACCTCGATCTCCATGGATTTGTTGCTGGTGAAGGTCATGCGCCCAGATATGGTGATGATACAACCTGAAACAGAAGAGAATGGGTTAAACGTCACAAACCCTCATTCACGGACGACACGCCTGTCAGACATCGAACATCTCCCACTATGGACAACACGCCTGTCAGACATCGAACATCTCCCACTATGGACAACACGCCTGTCAGACATCGAACATCTCCCACTATGGACAACACGCCTGTCAGACATCGAACATCTCCCACTATGTACAACACGCCTGTCAGACATCGAACATCTCCCACTATGGACAACACGCCTGTCAGACATCGAACATCTCCCACTATGGACAAAACGATCTTCAATACTTCATTATTCTCTGCACCTCGGCTTCACCTTCGGCGTCCACCCAGAATTAACATTTCAGGGTTTGGTAAATGCAGACAGTCTGGTCTATATTTTGGGGTCTTTACTGCTAATATCTCAGAGATCAAACTACAACCCCCCCCCGTAATGGAGATAAAGAGTGGAAGCTGCGTTTGTAGTCCTGTACAAAAGTGACAACCGTGGTTACCTCCATAGATACAGAGGAGCAGCCACTCAACCCTTTGTACCACAAAGGAATCCTGGAAACAACTTTCCAGCCTCAGGAAACACCCACCAATCATTCATATTTTTACAATTCATGGTACATTAGCATGATGGCCATTGGGAAGGGTGAACCTTACATTGGGGGTCAGTGAGAATGTCCCTTACATTGGGGGTCAGTGGGAAGAATGTCCCTTACATTGGGGGGGGTCAGTGGGAAGAATGTCCCTTACATTGGGGGTCAGTGAGAAGAATGTCCCTTACATTGGGGGTCAGTGAGAAGAATGTCCCTTACATTGGGGGTCAGTGGGAAGAGTGTCCCTTACATTGGTGGTCAGTGGGAAGAGTGTCCCTTACATTGGTGGTCAGTGGGAAGAGTGTCCCTTACATTGGGGGTCAGTGGGAAGAATGTCCCTTACATTGGAGGTCAGTGGGAAGAATGTCCCTTACATTGGGGGTCAGTGGGAAGAATGTCCCTTACATTGGGGGGTCAGTGGGAAGAATGTCCCTTACATTGGGGGTCAGTGGGAAGAATGTTCCTTACGTTGGGGGTCAGTGGGAAGATTGTCCCTTACGTTGGGGATCAGTGGGAAGAATGTCCCTTACATTGGGGGTCAGTGAGAAGAATGTCCCCTACATTGGGGGTCAGTGGGAAGAATGTTCCTTACATTAGGGGGGGTCAGTGGGAAGAATGTCCCTTACATTGGTGGTCAGTGGGAAGAATGCCCCTTACATTGGGAGTCAGTGGGAAGATTGTCCCTTACATTGGAGGTCAGTGGGAAGAATGTCCCTTACATTGGTGGTCAGTGGGAAGAATGCTCCTTACATTGGGGGTCAGTGGGAAGATTGTACCTTACATTGGGGGTCAGTGGGAAGAATGTCCCTTACATTGGTGATCAGTGGGAAGAATGTCTCTTACATTGGGGGTCAGTGGGAAGAATGTCCCTTACATTTGGGGGTCAGTGGGAAGAATGTCCCTTACATTGGGGGTCAGTGGGAAGAATGTCCCTTACATTGGGGGTCAGTGGGAAGAATGTCCCTTAGATTGGGGGTCAGTGGGAAGAATGTCCCTTAGATTGGGGGTCAGTGGGAAGAATGTCCCTTACATTGGGGGTCAGTGGGAAGAATGTCCCTTACATTGGTGATCAGTGGGAAGAATGTCCCTTACATTGGTGATCAGTGGGAAGAATGTCCCTTACATTGGTGGTCAGTGGGAAGAATGTCCCTTACATTGGGGGTCAGTGGGAAGAATGTCCCTTACATTGGAGGTCAGTGGGAAGAATGTCCCTTACATTGGTGGTCAGTGGGAAGAATGTCCCTTACATTGGGGGTCAGTGGGAAGAATGTCCCTTACATTGGGGGGTCAGTGGGAAGAATGTCCCTTACATTGGTGGTCAGTGGGAAGAATGTCCCTTACATTGGGGGTCAGTGGGAAGAATGTCCCTTACATTGGAGGTCAGTGGGAAGAATGTCCCTTACATTGGTGGTCAGTGGGGAAGAATGTCCCTTACATTGGGGGTCAGTGGAAGAATGTCCCTTACATTGGGGGGTCAGTGGGAAGAATGTCCCTTACATTGGTGATCAGTGGAAGAATGTCCATTACATTGGGGGATCAGTGGGAAGAATGTCCCTTACATTGGTGGTCAGTGGGAAGAATGTCCCTTACATTGGAGGTCAGTGGGAAGAATGTCCATTGCTTTGGGGGATCAGTGGAAGAATGTCCCTTACATTGGAGGTCAGTGGGAAGAATGTCCATTGCTTTGGGGGATCAGTGGGAAGAATGTCCCTTACATTGGTGATCAGTGGGAAGAATGTCCCTTACATTGGAGGTCAGTGGGAAGAATGCCCCTTACACTGGGGGTCAGTGGGAAGATTGTCCCTTACATTGGGGATCAGTGGGAAGAATGTCCCTTACATTGGGGGTCAGTGGGAAGAATGTCCCTTACATTGGGGGTCAGTGGGAAGAATGTCCCTTACATTGGTGATCAGCGGGAAGAATGTCCCTTACATTGGTGATCAGTGGGAAGAATGTCCCTTACATTGGGGGTCAGTGGGAAGAATGTCCCTTACATTGGGGGTCAGTGGGAAGAATGTCCCTTACATTGGGGGTCAGTGGGAAGAATGTCCCTTACATTGGGGGTCAGTGGGAAGAATGTCCCTTACATTGGGGGTCAGTGGGAAGAATGTCCCTTACCTTGGGGGTCAGTGGGAAGAATGTCCCTTACATTGGGGGTCAGTGGGAAGAATGTCCCTTACATTGGGGGGTCAGTGGGAAAAAATGTCCCTTACATTGGGGGTCAGTGGGAAGAATGTCCCTTACATTGGGGGTCAGTGGGAAGAATGTCCCTTACATTGGGGGTCAGTGGGAAGAATGTCCCTTACATTGGTGGTCAGTGGGAAGAATGTCCCTTACATTGGTGATCAGTGGGAAGAATGTCCCTTACATTGGGGGTCAGTGGGAAGAATGTCCCTTACCTTGGGGGGTCAGTGGGAAGAATGTCCCTTACATTGGGGGTCAGTGGGAAATGTCCCTTACATTGGTGATCAGTGGGAAGAATGCCCCTTACATTGGGGGTCAGTGGGAAGAATGTCCCTTACATTGGGGGTCAGTGGGAAGAACGCTCCTTACATTGGGGGTCAGTGGGAAGAATGTCCCTTACATTGGGGGGGTCAGTGGGAAGAATGTCCCTTACATAGGTGATCAGTGGGAAGAATGTCCCTTACATTGGGGGTCAGTGGGAAGAATGTCCCTTACATTGGGGGTCAGTGGGAAGAACGCTCCTTACATTGGGGGTCAGTGGGAAGAATGTCCCTTACATTGGGGGTCAGTGGGAAGAACGCTCCTTACATTGGGGGTCTGAGACTTATCTGAGATGCAGAAATTGTTCATTGCCCAAGGAACACCTAACAACCAGTGGAGGAACCCTGATTGAGAATGACTGCAGTGGAGTGAGTGTTGTCATCTTGGGGCAGGAAGTGTGTTATTCCCATGATTACCAGATGAAAATAAATGGAAAAACATTGAAAAAATTTGAGGCATATTTGGCAACTATTGGGAAAGGCGGCTCCCACGCCATGCAATGCACTAGAAAAATGTCAGCTTCAATCTGATTGGTGCAAAATGTAGGTTTAAATGTTTCCGTGTTTTCTAAACCACTCAGAAAGTTCTTTAGTAACAATGTCTACCCCCCCCCCCCAAAAAAAAAAATGGTTATGCAGAATTGGTGGTAAACCCCCCCAAAAAAAAAAAAAAAAAAAAAAAAAAAAAAAGAGAGAAAAACTTGCGCATTTCAGTCTATGTAGACGCCGTGATCTGCGCCATCTTCCCACCCTTCCCGGAGTTTTCCGTCCGCCTCCCAGTACTACAGACACAATAAGAGGATTCTCGTTTGGCAAACATTGCTGTAAATGACTTACGGTATGAAAGATTGAAGACACGGCCTTGGCCATGGGGGGAATGTTATATATATAACAAGAGAGCGCCAGTTTCCATAATTAAAAAGTTAAGGGATTATATTAGAAAGGAAAGACATGTCACGGACTAAAATCCAGTATTAATTTTTAAAAAAGGGATAAAAGCATTGCTGAACTTTATACATGGTTGGCAGTGCAGGACAGATGGCCTGTTATATGAAGGATGGCGATGCTTCTAAAAGACTCTGAAAGAACGCGGTAGTTTGGGCTCCGGGGACATGGGAGCTGAGCGGGCCACGAGCTCCACATTAACAGTTACAGGGGATTCTAGCATGGAATGCAGAAGAGGCAGCTGCTTCATCCTCTTGTATGAAAATCCTTGTGGGGATTAATGAGTTCTGTTCAAGCTGAATCCTGGACACCCAAAAATTACCGTATTTTTTGCTCCATAAGACGCACCTAGGTTTTAGAGGAGAAAAACAAAAAAAAAAATATTCTGAGCCAATGGACTGCGGACACGGTACAGGAGATGACCAGAGACTGCGGACACAGTACAGGGGATGACCAGAGACTGCGGACACAGTACAGGAGATGACCAGAGACTGCGGACACAGTACAGGAGATGACCAGAGTCTGCGGACACAGTACAGGAGATGACCAGAGACTGCGGACACAGTACAGGAGATGACCAGAGACTGCGGACACAGTACAAGGGATGACCAGAGACTGCGGACACAGTACAGGGGATGACCAGAGACTGCGGACACAGTACAGGAGATGACCAGAGACTGCGGACACAGTACAGGAGATGACCAGAGACTGCGGACACAGTACAGGAGATGACCAGAGACTGCGGACACAGTACAGGAGATGACCAGAGACTGCGGACACAGTACAGGAGATGACCAGAGACTGCGGACACAGTACAGGAGATGACCAGAGACTGCGGACACAGTACAGGAGATGACCAGAGACTGCAGACACAGTACAGGAGATGACCAGAGACTGCAGACACAGTACAGGAGATGACCAGAGACTGCGGACACAGTACAGGAGATGACCAGAGACTGCGGACACAGTACAGGAGATGACCAGAGACTGCAGACACAGTACAGGAGATGACCAGAGACTGCAGACACAGTACAGGAGATGACCAGAGACTGCAGACACAGTACAGGAGATGACCAGAGACTGCGGACACAGTACAGGAGATGACCAGAGACTGCGGACATAGTACAGGAGATGACCAGAGACTGCGGACACAGTACAGGAGATGACCAGAGACTGCAGACACAGTACAGGAGATGACCAGAGACTGCAGACACAGTACAGGAGATGACCAGAGACTGCAGACACAGTACAGGAGATGACCAGAGACTGCGGACACAGTACAGGAGATGACCAGAGACTGCAGACACAGTACAGGAGATGACCAGAGACTGCAGACACAGTACAGGAGATGACCAGAGACTGCAGACACAGTACAGGAGATGACCAGAGACTGCAGACACAGTACAGGAGATGACCAGAGACTGCAGACACAGTACAGGAGATGACCAGAGACTGCAGACACAGTACAGGAGATGACCAGAGACTGCAGACACAGTACAGGAGATGACCAGAGACTGCAGACATAGTACAGGAGATGACCAGAGACTGCAGACATAGTACAGGAGATGACCAGAGACTGCAGACACAGTACAGGAGATGACCAGAGACTGCAGACAGTACAAGGGATGACAAGGAGACTGTGGACCTTTGGGGAGGGAGGGGGAGCGGTACCTGTCAAATTCACTTCTGCGGAGGTGTCCTCCCTTTAGCGCGGGAACCCGGCTGTGACAGTTGGGTACTCACTGCGCATGTGCGAGAAGCGCTGCGCTTTGTGAATGGCCCGGCGACTTCTGCATGCACAGTGAGCACCCGGCTGTCACAGTCGGGTTCCCACACTAAAGATGCCGGCACAGGAAGAATAAGGTAAGGTCCTGCTGCAGGGAAGAGCTGAGCGGCTGGCCCGATATTCTGGCACGGTGTCGACAGCGGAAATACCAGACCGGCCGCTCTATATTCGCTCCATAAGACGCACTGACATTTTCCCCTTTTTTGGGGGGGAAAAAGTGTGTCTTATGGAGCGAAAAATACGGTAATGCATTAGATCTGCCATTCTCAACCAGGGTTCCATGGAATCCCAGGTACCACAGTCAGGGGTCAGGCTCGGAGACCACTTGCTACAGCAGAAGAGAGACTCCCACTAACCAGATAGGTATACAAGCAGGTCAAAGTGAAACAAAAAAGAAAGCGCACCAACCTTGCGCATTACCTCAGTAAACCATAAATTTATTAAATTCAGAGTGATACTCACAAAAATTGAAGTAAATCAAGCATGTAAGTCCTCAAAGGAACATCGTAGGGGTAGACACTCAGAGTTTTGAAGGGCATCCATTCTTCATCAAAGCTCTGATGAAGAAGGGACCCCCTTCGAAACGCCTCAGCCGTACTCTGACTATCTACCCCTACGATGTGACTCACACAGGCTTCACATTTCTAAAAAATGAATGAAAAAAAACCCCTGCGCTTAGATGACCCTAATAATAAAAAGCTGCTAGCACCTACTAAGTACCAGTGTAACATAAACCAAAAAACTATAAAATTGGTGCAGCGCGCTAACTAATAAAATACATACGGAGCAAATAAACTAACATAAGTGAATGAACCCCCTTTAGTGACAGCATGAATCAATCACTGGTGTCAAAATGCAATTGACACGCACTTAACAAGTGACTACGGGGTGATAAAAAGTCCAATATGAGCACACAGGTGAGGAACTCTTCACACGTGGATGTGTCATACG